CTGCCGTTTCCTCTCAAGGCAGTCGAAGCTTCCTGGCTCTGAGCATCTCCACTCTCAGCCCAGAACCTTTTGTGATTCCCATAGCCCCAGCCAACCAATCTGCACTTTTTAATCTTCCCAAGGCCCGCCCCTAGGCTTGGCCACCATGAACCTTCAGAACTGTTGCTTGTACGGATACCACTAACCACGTCCCAAGAACGTGGGCTGCTTGTGTGTTCTGAGGGTAGGGCAAACCAAGTACTCTCACAGAATAGAGGGCTTGAATCTTTAAAGTGGGAAGTACTGATCCCAGAGGCAAGCTTGGCTGTCCAGATTACCTGTGACCAAGGGCAGCAGCCTGGGAATACGAGCCACTGGGGCTGAGCCTCTGGTATTAACCTGGGTGTTTTTCTCACAGTGGATAGAATATAGACCTGGGCAGTGCCCTGGGCTGGAAAGACCTGGGGACCAGGTATGGAAACCCAGCCTTCCCTGTGCCATCTACCCCATCTCCCCACCTCTGGCCTACTCAGGCTGCTTCTGTGGGGCTCCTTAAAAATCTCCACCCTGGGGAGGCATTTCCTACAGCCATGACCTAGTACTGACTGTCTCCAGGGACCCTTTCATCTCGTGCTGCAAATCCAGGCCCCATTCGTTGTCCCTCCCAACTGAGGCCCAGGTCTTGCTGTACATGTCATGGATACTGGGCTGTTCTGAAAGCCACTTCCTGTCCCCCCATTCCCAGCTTGGCCCAGGCTTGGTTTCTCCCTCCCACTTCCTTCTGTCCTGCATCTCATCCCCCCCCCCATCCTTCCCCACTAGCTCCCCAAATAGAACCAGGACTTCCTGGGTGTGGGATCAACTCACACCTCAAGGGCCACCCTGTGGGTCACAGAGTCCCTCTGGGGCCCACAGGCTTCTTTGTGTCGCTCTCCTTCTCTTTGGCCTAAAGGTCCACTTCTCTGTTACAGCGGTGGGCAAGACCATGCCCCTCCCTTCAACCAAGTAATTACAGTGCTTTTCTGAGCGGTGGTGACATGGTCTTGCCCAGTGAAATAACCCCTGGGTACATTGACTGACAAAAAGAAAATAACCCCACCACGTCCACGCTCTGCTAAAAGATGATGAGGGGAGGGGGGACTGGATCGGAGCCAGGTGTCCAGAGGTAGGGACCAGGCTCCTGGGGGAGAGAATTTATCCTCTCCCGCCTGTGCCACCTAGCACTCCCCTACTGACCAGAGGCTCTGCACTCTCATCTGAGCGCACTCCACACACCCACCTCCTTGCTTCTTTCCAGAGTGGGTGGCAATTGAGCATTTGTACTCCCCACACCATTCTGTAGACTGTCCGCAGGGAATGGGACCCCTACCTCCAACACTCAATGTGTCCTGCTGATAGCAGCTACAGGGACTGGTGCTCAGAAGTGTGGGACGTGGGTGGTAGCCTACAGCCATCACTCACGGCTGACCCTGAGTCCCACCTTCAGAGTTCTGCACCTATCTTTGGGAGCCTGCACCAGGAGGGCTTTCCTTGCTCTGTCCCTTAGCCCAATGCTATGCTGGCTGTCACTTTCAGGTCAAGAGAACCCCTGATGGGCAGTGTTGTGACCTTGGGGAAGCTCCTCCCTGAGGGCAAGAGACCCTGGTGGTCTTAGAGAATCAAATCAACCCCTCTTGGTGGCTACCCCCAATCCTCTAGCTACTTACAGTCCTCTGGTACCCAGGAGACAGTGGTGGGAGGGGCCCCTGTAATCTGAAGGTCACCTGGGATAGCCTTGCATGATCCCACTCCTCAGTTTCCTCTAGTGTCCCCCTGAAGGGTGTAGGAACAGTACAGATTCAGAGCTCAAGCTGGCTGCAAGGGGCAGTCACATGGGCAGCCTGCAGGGGGCAGAATTGCAACAGGGACTGAAGCCTGTCAACCTTTTGAAAGTATCCTTGGGAGGACAAAGAGGGTGGGTAGCTGGGAAGGCTAGATCCAGGATGGGTTCTGCTGGGCTCTCAGCAGGGTTTAGGCAGCAGGAGAGGGGGCAGGGGTGCAGAGGATGAAGAGGAACGAGGTACTGTGTAGGGGTGCAAAAGACGGGAGCAACTGCCTTGAGTTAAAGAGCCCCATTCAGAGTGGGAGCTGGTGGGGGTCTGTACACCCTAGTGCACCTGGGTGGGGCTCCAGCCCAGGCTGAGCTCCAACCCCAGCCCCAGCCTGTGGTAAGCCCTGTAACAGTGCGGGCAGGATGTGGGGGGACAGGGCCCCATTCCTCAGCCCCTAGGCTGAGCCCTGGGCCCCCCGAGCCAGAACAGACTCAGGAAATGGCCTGATTGCGTTTGTACGGGAACGCCAAATCCCTTGCAGCTGCGCGGGGCCAGGGCCACGGGCGGGGCGGCCATCGCCAGAGTCTTGACAGCTCCGAAGAACGTGCCAAGGGGTCTGGGCCGCTGGCCGGGGGGCGCCTTTCCCAGGCCAGAGGCCCCCACCCCACCCCACCCCAGGAGAGCCACCCCCTTCCAGTTCCCAGAACGGAGCCCAGCTGTGGAATAGCGACGGGGTGAGGTCATGGGGAGGGGGCGCATTACTCATTGCTTGAGGCAGGCGGGAGGAAAGAGGCAGGGGAAAGGGGCCCCAGGCCTGCTCAGCCTCAGAGCAGGGTCAGGAGCTGGGACAAGCTTTTCTCCAGCAAGGGGCTGGAGGGGTGATGCTGGTAGACCCCTATCCTGCACCCCACTGTCACCAAGACTTTGTCCAGGGAGGGCTAAGTTAGGGTAACTTTGGAGGGGGTGGGTCCCACAAAGGATGTTCCCAGAAAATACACATTGGCCTCCTGCCAGCCCCAGGCTCAGGCCGGCACCACGTTGTCGGGGTGATGGTTAGGAAAACAGTAAATAGTGAGGCAGGGGCGGCCCCCTGAGAGCTTGGGAGGGAATAGGACCTGCTGTTTGTGATCCCCTGTTCCCTACCCTTGCCTGCACATGTTGGAGGGTGACCCTGTGTACTCATGTGTGAGCACGTGCGTGGGAGGGCCTGTGTGTGAGTGCCTATGTGGCCACATGAAATGTCTGTGTATCCTGTACCCTGCTCAGGAAAGAGCTCTGTTTGGTCCCTATACTTGCTGCAAGCCAAGCCCCCATAGCCCCTTTCCTTGGGCTTTGTGTGTTGGTGACAAGCTATGGTAGCTTGGATTCTCTGCTCCAAGAGTGAAGGACCCTGAGGGGTCCTGCCCACAACTGTGCTTGCAAGGAGGCTACACCTGGGAGAACAGGAGAGGCTCTGGTCCGGTTCAGAGTGAGACCCCCGATTCAAGATATCCATACTCGGAGCTGAGCTAAGTGAGTCCTGCACCCCCGTCTCAGTCTTACACAGTCACCCAAGTGTTTGAGTGCTTTCACACACATGAGAACTTTGTATACCGACCCTGCACATACACAGATTCAGAAAACAAGGACAAAGCCACCCAGGGGGTATCTCTTTATGGTCTGCCTCAGAAAGCAGGCAGAGTAGCAAGCCCTCTTTTTCCCATACACTGTACCCTGACATTTTGGGGGGGTCTGCTGGTAAACGTGTGTGCAAGGAGCAATCCACAGCCCCCAGAGCCCAGAGTTGTACTTCACCGGGTGGAGAGGGGCCAAAAGGGGCCCCCACATTGGCTGAGGCCACGGAGAGAACCAGGAGGCCCTCGGCATCTGCCTGTGATGGAAGCCAGGTGTAGGGAATTAAGGGGCTTTCTCAGGCTGGAAGTTGAAGGCCCTTCTGAGGCTGAGGCAGGCAGCTCGGCTTGGGGTGCAAGGTAGGGGCCGTCAGGCAGCTTGCATGGCTGAAGTCCCATGTGGCTGGCGGGCGGGAGGTGGTGGGGGGGATGAGGGAGGAGTGAACCTCATCCTGGAGCCTGTGGAGAGGCCTGGCTTTTGTCTGAGAGGCTTAGGGGAGACCTGGAGAGATTAGATCATGTGCTGGCAGGGCTTCCTGGCCAGGGGACTGAGGCCCAGAGGGGAGCGGGCTGTGGGGTCATTTGGCGGACACTGCCCGGGAAGCACAGAGACCCCAGAAGGGAGACTCGACTCTGAACAGCTCAGGCACCTTGGTCCTGGGGCAGTGGGAACTGTAAAACAGAGGACCTGACCCCTCTCAACTCCAGACAAGTTGGAGGGGCTGTTGGGGGGAACAGTGGCCAAGGCCTGCAGTATCTACTAGACACCAGCAACACAGGTTTGCTGTATAGGGTCTCCAGACCCCCTGGGCCCAGACCAGCCTGATTCCTCTGACTGTGCCTGGCTTAGAGAAAGGAATTCTAAGGAGCCTGAGTCAGCACACTCTGAGGGCTGCAGATATTGCTTGCCTCAGTTTCCCCACCTTTGACATAACCCAGAGAGACCTCTGTGGGGAGGACCCTGAGTTGAGGTTGGGGTGCTCTAAGGTACCCAAGTGCAAAGTAGAGAGAGAAAGGAGCTGGGTGGATGCAAAGAGAGCCTGAGCCTGACCTAGTGACTTCTAGATGCAATCTCACACTTGGTCCTTGTATGGTGGCTACTGTCTCCCAACATGCCATTTTTTTGAAGACAGGAAGGAAGGTTCCAGGTGGAGATTGTAGGGGTAGCTATCTGACTGGTGCCATGTCTAAGACTCTCTGAACTCATTGTCACCTTTCCCAAAGTCCTTCTTGGTCCCCACGTTGAACAAGGTGACTATGTTCTAACATAGGAAGCAGTCAGCATGACAGGACAGTTGGTCACAAGCCCCAACATCGGGTTGCCTGAAACCTATGTGGACACCGATGTCTCCTCTCTTGGCAGAGGCTCACCTGTGTGTACAGAGCCCTGGGATTACCCCCCCCCCCCCCTTGGGCAAAGGCACTTTCACAACTGCTTTGCACAGCCTTCATCTTAGAGTAAACTGAGGCCTGCAGACGGGTCCAGGGATTTACCCTTGCCTGCCAACAGCAGGGTTTGTCCATTCCCCTCACCATGCCACTCATCGCAAGACTGTCTCAGTCGTGTGGCATGACTGTCTCTCTGGGTCTGCTCCTCCAGGCTCACAGCTCAGTGGAAAGAAGAAGACCAAGAAGAGGCTGCCCGTGAACAGCGCCAAAGGGAACGAGAGAAGCAGCTGCAGGACCAGGACAAAGATGAAGAGGAAGGCGATCGTTCCCTGGAGCAGACAGGGCAGCAGACACTGTAGGTTGCTGGGTCCTGGACCCCTATTTACTGCCACACAGGACCTGGGAAGAAGCACATACTGGGGGATCAGGCCTTGGACTTAGAGCCACAGTGTAGGAATTAGAGGAAGGGACCAGCTCCTGAGACAAAGGTCATTGCAGTCTCCAGTAAACACCATCTGTGGGATGCTGACTAGCCAGAGGGTCCATAAAGTTATGTGAGGCCCTCCCCTTCCAACCAGCCTCCAGGGGCCCTGACTCAGGCTCTGGACACCCTGTACATCTCCAGCCCTGGCTTGGACTGGTGCTGACCCCAGCCATGAGGCCCTGGCCCCCAAGCCCCCCGCCCAAACTCCTGGCTGCCAGTGACTCACGGAGGCCACGTCCAAGTTGGCGGCTACGGGCCGGCTCGTTTCCTCCTCGGGCCCAGGAGGCCTCCGCGGCTGGGCTGGGCTGTTTTTCCAATAACTCTCCCCTTCCTCCTGGCCCTGTTTTGTTCCATTTTCTCGAAGTCAGCAGCTTTGGGCGGGGTGGGGTGCTGCAGGGGTCATGGCCTCTCAGTCAGGTCTTTAGTTACTGGGTCCTTGCAAGCCCCCAACCCTTTCTTGCCCAGTAGCTCACCCTGATCCTTGAAAAAGGCTGTGAGAACCACCCTGAGAACCACAGCAGCCTCAAGGAGCCCTAGATAGACGGGGGGGGGGGGGGGGGGGGGAAGGCACACCCTCTCTCCTGCAGTCCTAGACTGAAGAAGGAAACAGAGCTCTCTTTTTGGGGAGCTCTAGATTGTTGAAGAAACACAGTCCTGCCCTCAGGGAACCCTAGACTGTTGAAGAAGGCATTGCCTAGTCCTTGGGGAGCCCTAGCTTGGAAGAAGAGGCAAAGCTATGTATATTCTTAAAGAGACCTAGATTGGTGGGGGAGTGATATCTCTGCTTTCAGGAAACCCTAAACTAATATGAGCAGTAAAGCCTGGCCTTAAAAGAGCCCTAGACTGACGGGGGAGGGATAGCCCTGCTCTCAGAGAACCTTCTACTGAAGGAGGAGGCATAACTCTGTTCTGGAGGAGTCATGGATTAATGAGGTAGGAAGAGTCTGTCTCTCAAGGAGCGCTAGACTGATGGTAGAGGCATAGTCCTACTCTCTGGGATGTCATAGACTGAAGGAGGAGGCACATCTCTCCTCTCAAAGAATCCTAGACTAATGAGGAAAACAAAGTCTGGCCCTTAAGGAACATTAGACTGATGGTGGAGCCATAGTTCTGTCCTCAGGAAGCCCTAGACTAATGGTGGAGCCATAGTTCTGTCATCATGGAACCCTAGACTGATGGTGGAGGCATAGCTCTGTCCTTGGGAAGCCCTAGACTGATGGTGGAGGCATAGCTCTGTCCTTGGGAAGCCCTAGACTGATGGTGGAGGCATAGCTCTGTCCTTGGGAAGCCCTAGACTGATGGTGGAGCATAGCTCTGTCATCATGGAACCCTAGACTGATGGTGGAGCCATAGCTCTGTCCTTGGGAAGCCCTAGACTGATGGTAGAGCATAGCTCTGCCATCATGGAACCCGAGACTGATGGTGGAGCCATAGCTCTGTCGTCATGGAACCCTAGACTAATGGTGGAGCCATAGCTTTGCCCTCAGGGAGCCCTAGACGGACAGGAAAAGCACAACTCTGCTTTTGGAAAGCTGTAGGCTGCTAGAGAAGGCACAGCTCTACCCTGGGTGATTCTCTGACCTCAAACAGACAGAATGTAGCCATGGAGAGCCATCTCTGAAGCACATGGTGGCTCACTCTGGGAGTCCGGGTCTAAGGAAAGAGACAAGGAAAGGAGCATAGGCTGTGACGTCTTTTCCTAACCCTCTTTTCCTCTGTTCTTTCAGCCTCAGGATAAAGTCCTCTGAACTGGATGAAGATGAGGGTTTCGGTGACTGGTCCCAAAAAATAGAGCAGCGGCAGCAAACCTGGGGGAACGAGGGGACTGCAGAGGGTAGTGAACCCTCTCAAAGTGAGAGTCCAGAGGAAAAGCAGGCAGAGGACAGGCAAGTGTGGACCAGGCTGGGCAGGGCACTGGCTCTTTCTGAACCCAGCCTGGGCCTAGACAATTCCTTTCTGTCTGCTCTTCCCCAAAAGACCCCCAAAATGCTCAGAGGTTGTGAAGCGGGTAGGGAGATGGGAAAAAAGGAGATAGATGGCAGGGTGGCCAGTGAGGGGGCTACAGGGAGAGAGCAATGAAGATATTGCATTCCTGGGTTCCCCAGGGCTAGGGGCCCCATCCTGACCAGCTGCAGCCAACAGGGGTGGGGGGCTGCCACATCAGCACACAGCTGCGGCCCACTTACGTAATGTAGGCGCTGCAGCCCACGCCCGCCCGCCCTCCCCAGGCTGGCTGAGCTCCATTCCCACGAAGGGGAGCAGGTACTTCCAGATGTGCGCCTGTGAGGCGGCCCAGGGGACACGCTTTCCAGATGTGTGGACGTGTGTGCTTGTCTAAATCAGGACAAATGGGGGGCCAAAGCCCCCTTGGGTCCGGAGATGAAGGATTGCTGATGGCGTCTCACCTTGCCTTCCCCCCCAGATCAGGGCCAGGTGTGAAGATAAGTCTGCCTCTCCCACCAGGCCTGGGTAGTGAGGGTCTCTGGCCCTGCTAAGGAGCTCCAAAATTGGAGGCCAGAGCCCCCATTGCCTTGAGTGGGCCAAAGCCAAAGGCTGAGCTGTCTTTGCTCAGTGATTCAGCCCCATCTGGCCCCTCAGAGGCCCCTGGGCCAGCAAGAACTCAGCTCAGCTCTTTCTTGTTCTCATTTAATGAACTTCAGTTTCAATCACCCTCTGCATTCCAAAACCCCTGTTTTTCTGGGGCCCTGGTTCTGAGTCTGTCCACTGCCAGCTATCCTGGGTCTGCCCATTGCCAGCCTCAATTTCCCCCTGTGTGCCTATGTGTTTTGTGTGTATTCTGGGTTTCTAGGCAGGCAGCTACAGCCCTGCCCTCAGCTCACTCCCTTCTCGGCTCAACAGCAGGGGGCACTTTCGATCTTCAGGCAGAGCTCTGGCCTTGCAGCCTCCACCCTACCCTCAAACCCGCCTAGCTGCCTGGTCCGCGCCAGCTCTTGAATGGCCCCTCTGTGTGGCTGCTGCTGGCTCCAACCCCAGCCCACCTTGGGCGGTGGGTTTGGGTTTTGGCTGGCACGTACACCAAGGGGCCTGACATCATGGAAAATACAAGAATTTACTATCTTCTCCTCTAGGTTCAGAGCCACTCGAATGCAGAGTCACGCCCGGCTGCCCGTTGGCTAGCTGCCCCTCTCCAAGGCCCCTCACCTCAGTAATGCAGTCCCTTCCCTAGCTTCTTCCACCCGCTAATCCAGCACCCCCAAACACTCTGGGTCTGGGCCCCCAGTGGCCATTCCTCAATGCTGTGTTCTGCTGATCTATTTGCCCATATATGGGCAAGGCAAAAGCCCCCAGAAAGTGGACTTATCCAGATAGAGGGCTGCAGGACGTGTCCAGCTTCAGCAATTGGGCAGCCCTATTCAGTGAGTGAGCAGTAGCTAATGTCTTCAAGGGAGCCTTCTAGGGCTTCTCGGCACAGAGGCCCTAGGACAGTGCTGGCTTTGAACAAAGCCCTACATATCCTTCTATAAAAGTGCCTTGGCTAGACCTGTGAGATGTTCCGTGGTTAAAGGTGCTTGCCACTGAGCCTAGCATCCTGAGGAAGAGACCCAGGACCCACATGGAGGAAGGAGAGCCGACTCCCCCAAGTTGTCCTCTGAAACACCCCTATCTCTTTAAATAAACCCTAATGTTTTTTTATCACTGGGGTCTTAAGAGCCTTGTGGACCAACTCAATTGGACTGCTCCCGTTTTACAGATGACACACCTAAGGCTTGGAACTGGAAGTTGCCTAGAACCAAGTAACAAATGGTCTCCTACAACTAAGTTTGCCTCTCTTTTCTTCCACAGTTCTCACCAAACCAACGTTCACCTAGAGAAGTTGTGCCTGAACCAGGGGGAGCATAATCCAGAGGATGCTGTTGGGAATTCTGGGGAGACAGAAGAGGTAAGAGGTGAGGGCTCCCTGAGGGGCTAGGTCTGTGATACTGCAGGGGTGCTGTGGTCTCCTAGATTGACCTATAGGAGACGTCACTCCCTGATGCTGTCCTTGAGTCCTTCCAGAACACTTTCTTGGAGGGTGGAGAAGCTGGTGACCCTCTGGGCAAGTTCCTCTCTGATGACCAAGAGATTCTTCCCAGCAGCTGGAGATTCCAGAGCTGTAGCGTGTCAGGGCCAGACTAGGCCTGAGGCCCTGGAGGCCTCAGACAGGCTCTGGGTGGGGTAGGAGGGCACAGGGAGAGGTCATCTAAGCTGCCTATGTTTTTTGTCCCTAGCACCTGACAAGTCATCAGGCCAGGACTCCCAGCCCTTTGGCTTTGGAAGAGACTGTGAAACTGAGTTCACCTCCCCTAAGCCCCACCACCAAAGTAGGTGAAGCCTGAGTATCCCCTTTCTCCCTGCTTGTGTCCACTGTTCATGTTCTCTTCATCCATCCCCTGCTGTACTGGTAAACCCCTGTGATAGGGAAGTGGGGCTGGGTCAGTGGGGAGACTCACTGAGAGATGGAACTTGGGCCTCGTGTGTCTCTCCATGACCACACTCTGCACCCTCCACAGCTGGCAGATAGGACGGAGTCCCTGAATCGCTCCATACAGAAGAGGTGTGTCTCCCTTCTTTCTGGCATTCTCAAAGACACGGTGGGATAGCAGCTGTGGACTGAGATCGGGGGATGTGGTATCCTGGGAGGGGCTTTATTTGGGTAGGCTGGGAGGACACTGGAAAGGAACATAAGACTTATCCTTTCTTCTACCCCCAGCAACAGTGTGAAGAAGTCCCAGCCAACCTTGCCCATTTCCACAATTGATGAACGCTTGCAGCAGTATACCCAGGCCACTGAGGTAAAGTATACTCAGTTCTCCGAGGCCAAGTCTCCTCTTTAATAGCCATTATCAGCCATCCACCTAAGCTCTCTTCATCCCATCATACCCCTCTCTACTATACAGTGTCCTTCCCTTAACTCTCATTGCTCTTCCATCTACTCTAGGTCTCTCACATCACAGTAGGAATGCCTCTGTCCTGTCACACACCCACTCCACCAGTGCCCCTCCCACCATACAACACACCCTCATGCAGCCAATTCTCCCTCAGTCTAACAAAGCCCATGTACCTCAACAACATCCCTCCATCAGCCCTGTTCTTCATGTGATACCCCTTCACCTAGCCAGCACCTCCCATCACACCAAAAAATCTTCTCCATCTAACCCATAAACTCCATCCAAACAATGCTCTTCCAGCCCCCAAATGTGTAGCATGAAGCAGAACCCATATGACCTTGTGTCTCCCATGTTCTTCAGAAGTAAGGGTAGCTCATGGGGTACCAAATGAAGGCTAGCACATCTGTCCACAATCCCTACCTCCAGCAAACACAAAGATGAGGAAAGGCTGCTGGTGCCTACCATGGTGACTGTCTTGGGGCTCTGTCTCCTCTGTAGTCTGCTGGTCGAACTCCCAAGCTGTCCCGACAGCCCTCCATAGAGCTGCCCAGCATGGCTGTGGCCAGTACCAAGAATCGTTGGGAGACAGGAGAGGTACAGACTCAGTCAGCTTCCAAGACACCCTCCTGCCAGGTAGGATTCCTCTCCAGGCAGACCAAACTGGGGGGGGGGGGGGGGCAGAGCATGGGAAACTGGCCATCGTGAGGGTGGGTGGGTGGTTCCCTTTGGAAAAGCAAACCTGGGGTAGCCAAGGTGAACTGTGGATGTGAGGCTTCAGGACTCAAGGAAAAATCCATGTTGCCCTAATAAACAGGCAGTAGGACTCTCTTTTGATGTGAGGCGGGCAGGTTCTTGACCTTTCAGTCAGCTAATGTCAGGCAGAAGAAAAGGCCCCTTGGCCCGTAACTGTCCTATGACAGACCCTGCCCTGTGTCCATCCCCAGGATATTGTAGCTGGAGACATGAGCAAGAAAAGCCTGTGGGAGCAGAAAGGAGGCTCAAAGACCTCATCCACCATCAAGGTTAGTAAGCCAAGATGGCAGCGGCTACATCCCATCCTCAAAGACTTTCTGGAGACAGCAGCATCCCCCTTCTATAGCTATCTCCTTGACGCTTAGTCTCACCTAACAGAGCACCCCATCTGGAAAGAGGTACAAGTTCGTGGCCACTGGACATGGGAAGTATGAGAAAGTGCTTGTGGATGACAGCCCAGCGCCATAGATCATGTATGTATCTTGGTGAGTCAAAGGACCAAAGCATGACAAAATGGGTCCCCCGGGGAGCATACTGGCATAGATGGGCCGTATCTTAGGTCTTGAGGGCTGAAGACCTGGCCTTAGAGTTGTTGTGTTTTCTGTCTGGCTACCAGCTGTCTTCCTGGCTCTCTGAAGCCTGGAACACTCTCCCCTCAAGCAGGATCAGGTTGGCCCAGTACTGTTCATAGTACTGTTGAGTACTCCTATGAGACTCAAACTCTATTTAGGAACTCCTACCATATCCAGTGAGACTCATGATATGTGAGTCGGCCCTGGAGAAACTGAGTGTGGCACAGCATCCAAAAGTGTGGGTTACCATACATCCAGTAAAGGAGATGGGACCTTGGCTTGTCCCCCTGCCCTGCTGAAGACCCCTAGGGACTCTGCTGCTTTCCCCATCCCATGAAAAACACAGAGGTGATACCTGTATGGGTATACATACATTTATTGGTAGCTCTGTCCACAGCCATAGTACCCATCATATTCCAAGCAGGACTTCTAGCCCAACCCCTGCTGAATCCCGTTATGGTGGCTGTGACGGAGAGCCTCTCCCGGCTCCTTTGGGTCCCTCCTCTCACAGCTGATGTTCTGTCAGAGTTGGGCAGATCTTAGGGGTGGAGTCCCTCTAGTGCCTGGCCCCTGCCTCTTTATAACCCTCTGGTTTGACCTGTCCTTACCCGACTGTTGAAACTTGGTTACGATTTGTACTAAACCCTGCCCTCAGTGTAGCCCTACCCAGTAAGCCCTTACTGACGGGAATCAGAAGAGACACACATGAGACCACAGAACATCCTTTCTCCACTGCCCAGTCCTATGTACCTCTGAATACCTCTCACCCAAACCAGCTTGCACTGGGCCTAAAGCCCTCTATGAACCCTGGTCCTGAGGTCAGGCTTCCATCATCCATAAATATTCTCCAACTTGCATTCTTCTCCACCACTCCAAACTGCCTCCAGACACATGCTCCCTGCTTCATCCACATCTCTCACTTGCCACTTCCGCTCCCACCAACTTGTCTGTGTCTATCTAATAGGTTCCTTTGAGCAGCCAGCAGCCAGCTGCCATGGCCATGGCCATGCACTATCCTGACCCATTGTGTTCACTTGTGAGGACTGAGACCCTCTCTCTGTATCCTCAGCCTCAGTCAGTCTCTGTCCACCCCAGTCCAGAGTCTGTGAGGCCACTCTGGCTACATCACTGGAGTCTCCAACCTGCTGCTGTCCGATTGAAGTTCTTGGGCTGGGAGTGTAGCTCCAGGATGGGATGCAGTGTAGGAGCAGGCCGGACAGCCTCCTGTAGTTTCCGGGCATTGAAGCGAGGTCGGCACAGAAAAGGCAAGCGACCGAGGCAGGCTGGAGGGTGTCCCCCATCTCCGGGCCCCACAGGGTGGCTTCTACGGGACTCAGTCAGTGACATACGGTACAGCACTGCGTCCCACATCCTAGAGGCCCTGGAGGCAGGGGGCTGTGGGACCATGGGGACTGGCACCTCTGGTTGCATAGACTGCACGCTCAGCTCCGGCTCTGGAAATGCAGGCTGCTCTGCGTCCTCCATCAGTTGCTTCTTCAGGCGTGTCCAACCACTAAGGCAGGGCTTGGGTGCAACTTTGGGAACAGGGCATTGGGGGAGGCCCAAGGGACCTGAGGCTGCTGGGAGGCTGGAGACATGCTTGGGCTCCATGGCAAGCCTGGCTGTAGGCAGTTCCTCTAGGTGTTCTGCTTCGGGAGCTGCAGGAACTGGGCTATAAGGTGAGAGTCCAGATGAGCGGTAGGTAGGGGCTATGGGCACCACCACTCGAGCACCTGACTCTCTGGATGCTGAGGCCTGAAAGCTGGGTGGTGGCCTTGTTACAGGGGGCTCCTCAGGCCCAGGACTGACTGCCTGCACCCCGGTGGGCAGTGGGCGAATGTGTGCCACTGGGATGAGAGGCTGGGTATGAGAATTATGCAGGCTTTTATCCCCATCCAGGGCCACCCTGGGGGACTCAGATGTCCCAGTATGCGAGGATGGTGACAGCCGGATATGCACTTGGCTGATATGGGTACCAGCTGCTGTAGGGGCAGATACATGGGCAAAGCCATTGTGGGGCCAAGCAGTTTCTGGGGTTGGGGCTTCAAGCCTAGGCGGTGCCTTGAAATGAGTTGCCAGAGACCTTTGCTGAGGAAGACTGAAAGAGACAGTGGACTTCTGTAGGGGCGAGGCCACGTGGTGAACAATGGGGATATGTGGTGAGCGGGGCAGGGGGACCACCAAGTGAGGGGCTTCAGTAGGACGCTGGACGGTGGTCTCCAGGTCATGACTGGCCTCACTCACAGGGGACAGGGAGGTACGGAAGGCCCCAGGTGGGGCGAGGGTTGTTCCCACCATCTTCTTCCGAGCGGCTTTTCTCAGTAGCTTCTGAAGTCTCTGGTTGTCTTTTCCAGGTTTGGGCAGCAAGGGTGGTGGAGGCCCATGGGGGGCCTCAGGTCTTGGGCCACATGCTGCCTGGGGTGTCGACACAACTGAAACGAACATCTCTGGTCTGGGGTAGAGGAGAGAAAGAGTGGTCAGGCTGGGCCCCTCCCCTGCCCACAGGAGGGGCTGCTAGGTGGTTTCATATGCCGAAGTGGGAGAAGGTGCAGCGTCAGCTACTAGAAGCCTTCTTCCCAGGCTCTCCCATACTGCAAGCACCTTCTAGCCTTATGCATTAGTCGCTGTGGGTTCCTTCATCATACCCTGGTGTGGAGGTGAACTTACAGTGGCTCCAGGTCACTTGGTGGGTGACAAAGCCTAGAACCTGCCTTCAGGGATCTGTCCTATATGATAGCCTGCATAAAGCTGGCCTTACCTCCAAGTACCAGCTGGGGCCCAGACCTATAGTAGTACAGGATGGGAACAGAGACCCACTGATGAACTGCAAGCAAACTGCCTGTGCCTGGCCAGCTGCCGGACAGTGGTGGAGGGCAGGCTGCCTGCAGACACGTGAGGGCCGCCATGCCGTCGCCAGCTTGACCACAGGCGCGTCCGTGTGCTTTGAGTGGTGAGGGGTGGCAGCCAAAAGGCTCAGGCAAGCTGAGGCTCTATCCTTAGAGGTAGATTAGCAGGAAGACGAGAGCAGTTTTTGCTGAGCTATGCTGAATGGGATATCCCCACAGCCCTCCTGCCAGGGGTGGTCCAGGCCGAGCTGCCTGTCTTGGTTTCTGGGCGCCACATGTTTGCAAGGACACTGACAAATGGCATCTGGGCCAAACTGGAGGCCATCTGGTTTGGGGTGGAAGGAGGCGTATGGCTGCCGCGGTTGGAGCTGACTCTGCTGGAGCAGAAGCAAACACTGGCAGGGGGCTGGGGTGGTCTTCCCACACTTGCTCCAAGCTTCTGGGTTACCTTTAGGAAATTGGGACTTGAAGAATTGGGGTAACTTTGGGTTTGGTTCAAGAGGGCTGCCCCAGTGGGTGGTCAGTATTGCCTCCTGAACCAGCCTAGGCCCAGAATAGATTTGAGCCTGAGAGCTGGTCTCCTAGGTGACTGACCACTGTAAGCAGGAGCCTCCCCAGATAAGGAGGGGTATGGTAAGGTCTGATGGACACTAGGAAGGTAGGGTCATAGAGAAGGACAGCTTGTGCCGTTTCTTCAACCCCAGCCTAATGCTCCCCATACTCTTGCCTATGTTTCCAGGAGAGACTCCAGTCAGAAGCCACTCCCAGCCCTGACCAAGAAGTTGCTTCCCATTGCCAGTCTGGCCTGCTCTTGTGCCTCCAACAACCCAGCTGCCACTCCCCCCTCCTTTTGCTCCTGGACCCTCCATCTTCTATGCCCTCTTACTCTTTGATAACCCCCCCACCTCTGCCTCTCACCATCAGTTAAAGGGACAACTCCCTAGAGGAGCCAAGAGCTCCCAAGGAAGGATGGAGGAGAGAAGGCCAGCATCCCAGTCAGATCCAAGGGGTACCTGTCCCCATGCTGAATGTTCAGGACTCTGAGTCCCTTTTTTTATGTGTAATAAAGCATCTTGAATGGCCCCATGCACTGGCTCTCCTGTGCTCACTAAGAGAGAACAAGGTGAATGATGGATGGGTGATAGATGGATGGACAGGTGGATGATGGGTGATGGATGAGTGGTGAGCTCATGGGTAAGTAGATGGATGGATGGACAGAGTGTAAGTAGATAAATGGATGAATGAGCGGAAGGATAGATCATTTATGGGTAGATAGAGGGACAGATAGATACATGAGTAGCTGACTGGCTGGCTGGGTAGATGGATGGGTAGCTAGATGGAGACGTGAATGATAAGGGGTGAGTAGATGAATAGTGACAGATGGAGGTGTTGAGTGGGTGGATGGATGGATGGATGAGTAGATGGATAGGTGGGGGAGTAGACAATGGTGGAAAGGAGAGAAGAAAGGAAGGAATGGAAGTAGAAACTGTGAAAGCTGATTATGAGGGTGAGTGAGTGTATAGTGGCTGACCAAAAGTGTGTGAATGACAGTTGAGCTATGGGATGTTGTTCTTGGGGTCTCCCGCCCCTCACAAGCCTGCCCCTTGGCCTGACTCTAAACCCTATTGCCTCTGGACTCTGGAGATCCTTGACTAATGATGAGCTAAGCTTGACCATGACAACTACCTAGACATTCAGAATTTTGACTTACTGAAAGCTTCCAACTCCACTGGTAGGGACACATAGCTCTGGAATATTAACGTTCACACAGGTTGATGGCCCCAGCCTGCTCACAGCCTCACCATGATGTAGATGTGGAGCTCTACTCTGCTCCACGAGAAGCTTTTCCCAGGACACGGGACACTCCCTGCCCTTTCTACTCAGATGAGGAGGTGGCCAAGGGCAGAAGCTGTTTCAAGGTCCTTAAGGGACAGGGAGCAAGATACTAGTGTAGGACCAGAATGGGTATGTCAAGTGACAGAGGGAAAGTGTTTATTGCACCATGCTCCCCTGACTCACCTCGGGAGGAGAGTGCAAGGTGTGCTAAGTACAACTCCGCTAAATCTTGTGTGGGTCTCAGGTATAGAGTCTACCCCCTGCTATAACACTGCCCGCCCTGCCCAAGACACAAGGACATGGCCCTTCCATCTTCCTGCCTGACTCCTGAGGGATCCAATAGCTGGGGTTTCCTCCTCAAGGTCCTGCTCAAAGTGAAGTCCCTTGGACCCAGAAGTGCCCTAATACCTGTCGAGCCAATCTGTGTTTTTAAAACCTGGAGGAGCTGTCATGCATGGAGGCAGCTGCTGCCCGGATCACAGCGGTTGAGTCCCAAGTGCCACGTCAGCCAGTCCTATCCTGGGTTTGGCAGAGCTAGCCACAGTGGGTCAACTAGGAGTACTGGGTAAGGCTCAGGGTCCAGGGGCTCTTACACTCCCAGTCTGGATGGCCTCTGAGCACCCCACTATCCTAGGAGTCGCCCATATTGGCTACTGGAGCCAAAACACTGGAAAGACAGGCCCTTCTCAACCTCCTCTGTCCGCAAGGCTAAGTTCTTCATTCACCAACTTTGAGGGATCCTTCACAACCAGTCTGTGAAGCCTCAAACTCCACTGCTTCTCAGTCTCCTGGGTAGAAGTTCAGCACCCATCCAACAGACTTTGTCCCCCACCTCCACCAGGGTCTCCAGTCCTCTCCCAGATCCCCAGGGAGCCTTTTGCTCTGTCTCCCCTGCTCACTGAGCCCCAGCCAAGCCAAGGAGGACCTGCTGTGTATTACCTGGCATGTGTTACCTGCTCAAGTCTTTAGTGGCCGGCAGCAACAGGTCCAGCAGTGCCCACTCTATGCTGTCCTGCTGTACCTTGGGCCTGGTCCCCTGAGAAGGAGATGACTGTTACCCAAAATAAGACCTGCCCTGTCTCTCTGACCTCACCGCGAGTGCCTGCCAAAGGCTTCTGAAGTGAGCAGCCACCCTCCCCTGCTGGCCATAAGGAGCCATTACAGAGACAATAGTATACCCTCCTACAGACCTCTAAGGACCCCCATTCCTCTCAGACAAAAGAGCTTCTGGATGCAGGACTTCAAAAACTACAGACTGGACCAAATCCCTCGTGTTTGCTCTCTGTGTTCCTCAACTGAGGGATGTGCTTTGTTTCGGTTAAAACCTAATGAAAGGGAGGCTGGCCTTAGCACAGAAGAGATTTAGAGTCCCCTTGGCACCAGTGTGGGGCTTCATAAACTCTACATAACCTCCAAGGGCAGATTGAACTGGGCATCTGTGTTATTTGGAGTTCACTGAACCCTATCTATCCAAGGACATGGATGGCTGTGGAAGGTTGGGGTAGCCCAGCAACTCCAGCTTTGAGGGACCTCTAAAGGGCAAGTGCTTGGAGCAGAGGAGAGCAGGAGAGAGGCCCTGTTCTGTGAGCCCACAGGCTAAAAGACTGGCTCCACCTTGCTTTTGACAATAAGGTGGGTCTTGTGTGTCTCTGCTACTCTATGGCCCATCTCCGACACGTAGGAAGTGGTTGGTGGGTCAATCTCAACCTTCCAGAAACTCAAAGATCCAGCTTGTCTCTAACCCTAGGATGCCAAGAACAGGAGCCTTGTCTGTGTCCCCTGGGGTTCACATTGACTTTTCCCCTGAACTGGACAGATCCATGGGCCTTACCTGTCATGCCCAACCCCTGGGGTCTGGGAGAATTGAGGAAATGAGTAGGAAGTGCCAAGTTGGTCTCTTGCTACTTGGTGCTTTAGTTTCCCTAAAGGCAGTGCTATCCAGGCACACAAGGCCCAGGAGAGGTGTCCATGGTTGGATGGTGCCCCCTGGAGTCTTGAGGAAAGAAAGGCCAGGCACATGGCCAGGCCTGCTCAGAACCCAATAGAGCCTAGGTCTCAACATCTTAGGACAGAACCCCTGGACCAAAAACAGGCCCAAACATGACCCAGCCTTCCCCAGTCACTGGGGAAGATCGACAACCACCACAGGGTTTAGGTCATCATTTCTCTTGTTATATGTTCCAATGGTGTCCACTTGAAACAAATAGACCTGGTTTCTAAAGAGTTTGGTGCAATACGGGCCAAGGATCCAAGGTCCTTCATTCTGTGGGTGTTTTGAGCTGTCTCTGTGATGGAGGCGTAGGGCCGGGCTACTCGTGCCACATGGAGTTAGACCCTATCTTGAGCAAAGTTCCCATTCCTACAAGCCACCTTGGGCAGAGGAGCAGGGGGCCAAGGAACTTGAAACCCAAGCCCTGATGACCACTCCCCAATACCAGCCTGGCTCAACACAGTCTTTGGCTCCATCTAATCTATTCCTCCTCCCTCCGTCAGTCCATCAAGCATGTGCCCATTGCCGGGGCGGGGGGGGGTAGGTAAAAATAGCAACTGGCACCTTTCTAGGACAGTTGGGGACCTTGCCTTCTTCTCCAGGCATGTCTCCTCCATCCTTGCCTCCTTGGGCCTCCTCCTCTGGGGCATTCCTATACTTGGTCAGGGGCCTGCTTGGGCCACCCTCCCCCTCCCCATGCCCCAGCCACCCATCTGCTGGCCAATGGGCTGCCAGGGAAGATCAGATGTCACTATAACATGAGGGGGTGAGGCTGTCAGACAGTGCCTGCTGCTGCTGGTCCTGTCCACAAGAAGCCCCCAGCCTTTCTCAGACTCAACTGCAGGTGGGTATGGATGTGAACAGCCTGCCTAGGAGTGGGTGACTGTGTCAGGGTTTGGGTACCTAACATCTAAGGAGCACTCAAACGGGTCCTGGGCCTCATACTGTGTTATGTATTGATGACTAGAAACATGGTGGCTGAGCCTCGGGATGACTGGCGCCAAACCAGAGTAAAAAGACCTGGGAGAAGGGAGGAGGGGAGATGCTGGGGGCCTTAGGGGTAAGGAGCCCTCCTAAGGTAGGATCTAGGGAGAAGTTCAGAGAGTGAGATAAGGATCCACTTAGGGGACATTACCCAGAGCTCTGAGATTGCCTGCTGTGATATAGCAGGGTGGGAGCCTTTCTGGGGCTGTGTAAGAGTGACCTGAGGGAAGGAATGGAATTTCAACTCATTCCTGGAGCCAGAGCTCTGAGCCCTAAGCTACTCTTGCAATTTTGTAGATAGGGCTTATCTCAGGTCATCCTAGGAAAGAAGGCAATGGGAGAGATATCTGGGCCCCCCACCCCAGAGCCAGATCTTAAGGCTCAGATCAAGGATAGACAGGAGCCAAGCAGAAACAGGACAGAGGGAATGGGAGGGTCTGGGCCTAAGCAGATAGGTCGTATCTGATCTTGCTTATGGGTGGGAAAATAGGTGGTCCCAAGAGACCCTAGCCCTCCAGGCCTCAGCTTTGCTGAAATCTCCAGGTTGGGAACCCTACCTTCCTGAGTGTGAGCTTTCTAGATGTCCTTGGGAGTCCTTGGAGGAGATAGGACCAGACAAGGTTGATCAGAGGGTACTGGGCCCAAGGCAGGAAGTGATCAGGGTCCCATAGCAAGTGAGTGGCAGGGCCTCCGCCCCCCCTTTGAGTTTTGTCACCCCTGAAGAAACGGAGGTTGGCATGTACCCCCAAGGAACCTGACCTCACTGGCTATTTTCATAAATCCCTTCTAAGGCCAGAACTCTCCACGGGACAACTGCTTTCCCTCTCAGTTGTTGATTGGCCAGCCCTGTCCCATTCCTGCCACCCTACCTCTGCCTCTCCCCAACTTACAGGGATATTGAAATAAGGTGTAGAGATCCAGATCTGCTCAAGTGGGCCTTAGGGAACTCTAGAGGACCAGTAGCCTCAGTTTCCCAACCCAGAGTGAGGGCCACTGCTACCCCATTTTGGAAGGGTGTAAGGCAGCTCTTGCTGGATGCCGGCAAGAGCCAGGAGGGGAGCCAAAATGGCTGGGTTGCTCTCAGTACCCTGCCCCCCTGCCATCTTGGGTTTCAGGACAGAGGAGTCTTGCTAATTTTGATGCCTATTTTTGGACACTTCAGCTGCCACTGGCTCCTTATAAATGCACAACCCCCCCACTCCCCCCTCCCTCTGCTGCTGACAGGTGTGTGGGTCCAGTGGAAACTAGAGGCGGGAGAAGCAAGGTGGGGTCT